ACCTACGACGCGCCGCGCGGGCGCGCGTTCTCTCTCTCTCTCTCTCTCTCTCTCCGGTATCACGCCCATATGAACCGGCCATACGAAGCGAAGCGTGGCGAGCGACGAAAATGTCAGTGAATGAATCGCGCCCCGCCGAGTGTGACCGGACGACCTCCTCGTACATGGTATGATCGCACGGGGTGTTGCGTCGAGCGTTGCTGCGAGCGCTGCAACTTCTCCGTGACGCGCGTCGTCTTTCGTGAGAGGATGGTGGAGTGACACGCGACGAGAAACATCCGTCGGAGCAACAACAGCAGCAGCAGCAACAATAGTATCATATCGGAAACAGCATTTGCGAAGGGTGGAGCGGTGAATAAGAGCAAAGCGCGAGCGAGCGCACGGCAGGGCGAGGGACATCGGTCATCTCTTCTTCGACTGTTCTACGACGTGCGGGAAGCAAGGAAGACTGTGTGACAGGGTGCGTGTGCATAACACGGTGTAGTGGGATCATTCAAGAGAGAGAAAGAGAGAAAGAGGGAGAGAGAGAGAGAATCAAGAACGGAGGTTGAACGAGGGAAAAGCGACGAAAGAAGACATACGAAGACAGAGTGAAGAGAGAGAGAGAGAGAGAGAGAGAGAAAAGGAGAGAGGTTGACTGAGTAAGAAGGAGAGAAGGAGGGATAGAAAAACTGATAAAGAAAGAGGATAAATGTGTACATGTGTGGGGGAGAGAGGAAGAGAGCGAGATAGATAGGGAGAGGAGGAAGAGGAAGAAAAGGGAGATAAGGTCGAAGATTGGCATCACGGGAACGAGGCGACGAGCGGAGAGTCGAGGGAGAGGTCGAGACGGGAGATCGGAGGAAAGCTCGGAGGAAAAAGGCTGACGCGGCGGCGAGAAATCACGAAGCAAGTATTTTCACCGTAATGCCCCGCGTTATAATTAACCACCTGCACCTCCTCTATTCGATGATACCTCCTCGCGTATCTCTGTCTGTACTCCAGGCATCTCTACCTTTGTATGACATCCTTACTATTTTACACACACACACACACATACACATATATGTGTGTACCTTCTTTTCTGCCTTTGTTCTGACCTCTATGTACTCTCTGTCGCAATATACACGCTCGTGTACCGCCTTTTCGCGTTATTCGCACCTCGACTCGGCGCACACCGCTCCTGTCACGGCAGCAAGCCTTGCTTTTTCAACGTTTTTCGGGGCACCTGTTGATACGACCGACCTACATACCACATTCTATCCACATTATGTCACCCCGTTCGTCGTTCGAGCGAGTCATCAGGGCCGGTGTTGAGGAAACCGTCGTGCACGACGTGTCCGTGTTATTCGTTCGTTTGTACGAATTATGTCGATTGCTGAAAGGACATCGGGACATGAGGACACTCCTCGAGGACGCGCGGAGAACGTTCGTTTTCCGAGAGATCGCACTTCGCTTTCCAGAACGGATTTTTGCAAGCCGTTGCATATCGAGAGACGAGACTCTTTCGTTTCTCTGATCTGTCCTTATCCCCCTCCCCCTCCCCCTCCCGATAATCGGCCATCATGCGATCCGACATATGACGCGAATCACGTGACAATAATGATTTGGCTTGTTCAGAACTTAGGGATAATTCGTAGTGGAAAGACTGTGTTCAATTGTATCGTTTGGACGATCACCATCGCAAATAAAATCACAGCTACGTGTTCGTCTATTATATACAATTCATTGAGTTTTGGTAAATCGAGCGCAGTCATTGTACAATTTTGCAAACGCGTTGCTGCGTTCGTTGAAATTCCGAATCGTTTGGCCGCTCACGTTTCAATTTGTTTCAAAAGTTCCGCTCAGCCGAACGAAATCTCAGGCAAATGAGGGTTATATACATTCAATATGACTTCAATATGATTGAACCTTTTTTTTTTCTCAATGTAGTTCAGAATACGCTAATGTTTAATCATTGGTTAATATATTTCAAATTGTGCACACAAAAAGATTATATTTGTGTTTCTATTGATATTAATAATAAAATAAAAATAATAAAAAAATATATAAAAATAATGAAGAAAAAAAGGAAAAATAAAAAAAATACAGACTCAGGGCAGTATCGAACCTGGGACTCATTAGTTAGGCATCCTAGATTTTCTGCTGCTGGAATACCTTCTTGATATATACTGGCTGTCTCACTGTACTTCCACTGCTTTCTCAATATTTAATCACCGCAAATTCAGCAGTTCTCAATATTAAATTTCTGAAAGGATATTTCATCACTACTGTGTTATTAAGCATTAGTGTGTAAGTATTCATATTAATAGTAAGGTAGTATTGAATTACTGCAATCTTAAGCATTGAAATATTGGGAATTACTGCGAGCTCTATATATAATTTAATCGTTACGCATTACTAACAGCAGTGGCCTAGCAGTACATTTCATTGGCGTTACATTGGATTTACATTGGAATTACGTTGGGAATTACAATGGAACGCCAATGAAATTACAATAGCGTTCCATTGATTCAACATTGGCCAATGTTCAGCCAATGAAATGTGCTACTAGAATGTTTTAAATATTCCAAATAAGTAATTACTCGCTAGCTTAGCAGTGAATAAATTTCTATAAGGGAGAACTGATCTTCTGCTAATTATTCAAGGACGGTTTCGCAATTTCCGATTAATTTAAACGACCGATTGATTATTTTTGGCTAATTCTAGTTAACGACAAATGTGACTGGACAATTCCAATGAGATAATTAGTGGATCAAGTTAACCAGAGGTTGCGAAACTGTCCCGCAGGATTTGATCCGTCGATTATCCCATCGGAATTGACCAATCGCATCCGTCGTTAAGTAGAACTGATTAGAAATAAGCAGCCACGGTTAACACTTGATCGGTCGGAGGTCGTGAAACTGGCCCTGAATAATTAGTCCATCGGTTATGAAGTTAACCGTGAGTGATATAAACTTCCCGGTTGGACGTCAGTTTCATTATGTTCCGAGTTGCGAATCGAGAGAAGTGTTCAAACCGGATGTTGCACGTGAACGTGAAGCGATGGAATTTTTCAACGCGAACAGTAGGAAAAAAAGAGAAAAGAGACAAAATACATTGCCGAAAACCGCCGCAAATTTCCGGCTCGGCGGGCTCCCGGTAGGGTGGAACGAGGAGGGTTGGAGGTAGATGGGATAGATCCGTTCCGAGGTAGCGCTCTTTCCACGAAAATGAAACTTCGTCGAAGTCACGTCCGCGGTTAATCTCGTCGATATTTCGCGCTCACGATCGCGGCTCGGGCGAAGCCGCCGCCTCGATTAGACGCGGTTATTTTTAAACGAGTGTGCCCCTCGCCCGTGTCGTTATCGTTATCACCGTGATCGACATCTCACTAGCGTCGCTATAGTTTCTCATCTCCGTTCTGAGAAGAGAAATCAACGTCCGGGACGTTTGATTGATGTGAAGAAAGAAAAGAAAAAAAAGCGAACGAGAGGTGGTCATAGGATGAAGAGGAAGAAAGGGGATGAACGAACGGACAGACGGACGGACGAGCTTGCTAAAAATGCGCATCTGTGTGCTTGTATGTGCGTGTGTATGTATGTGTGTGTGAGAGAGTAAGCGAGCGGGAAAAAGGAGAAAGATGAGAAAGGGAAGGTAAGAGGATGAGGAAATAACGTCGAGGGAGTTCATTCTCCGATACTCAGATGATAGTTTTATTGGCGCACGCAAACGAGCGATCGCGAGCGGTTTTGACATCGGGTGGCATCGATTGGTTTAAATGTTGTCCACATTCTCGAGCACCACCTTTACGCATCTATGGCACACGCACGATGAGCACCTCCGATTACGTCCTCCACACGTCGCCACCAGCACTCTATTATGAATATATATATATATGTCCTGAGAAAAAAAATGTAAAAAAAGAATGATAAGAACCAAAAACCACAATATCTTTTTGTGTTCCTGGCACTTGGTAGGATGTCGCACGTTGTTCCTTACTTAACGACCTGATTTCAGGACGGTCGGTACAGGAGACATGTGCGCTTTATCACGAAGAGAGTAAGCGCCAAGGTCGCGGCTGACTATCATGGACTGCCGAAAGTGAAGCGTATCGATTTAGAGGAGCGAGCATAAAAACGCAATCACGAGTGTCAAGCGTGAATGATACACCGTGCACTTGAATTGGCTATTTGTTCTCGATAAAGAGACAGAGAGAGAGAGAGAGAGAGACAGGAAGAGGAAGAAAGAGGGAGAGAGAAAGGGAGAAGGGGATCCCCGCGTTCTCTCTCTCTCGAAGTTCGGCGACGGATCCTTGCTTCCTCCTGGTGAGGACATGCTGGAAGGGACATCGCGTTCGATACAGTTGACGCGTGTAGCGCGTATCGTTGCGTTTCCTATGCAATAATATCGTCGCTGTGTGTCGAAAATTACATTACACGTCGCCGCTCGTGACTTTTTATCAGGCTTATCCTCGACCTCCCCTTCTTCGCCCTCTTGGTATCAATCGACCGCTCCTGTACCGCCTGCCCACCTGCGTCGCTCAGCCGCACACGTATACATGTAATATACGCAGGTAGGCGCCACACACATGCACAGAGGACACACGCATACATACACACACACACACACATACATACAGATATATATATACACACGCCTCCATCCTCAGCTTTCCAGTTTACCGCGCGTTTAAACGAAAAGTCGGCCTAATCCCCCGAGTCGCTACAGACGTGCCTTTAGACTGGCAGTGAGTAGTAAGCAGCTAAAGCGTACAAGACAAACAAACCAAAAGCATCGTTGCTGTTCATGTAGGTCAATTATAACCACCACACACACCCCCCAGCCGAGTACGATCGACGTAAGACGAAAGCGGCGACGGTGGTGGTGGTTGTGGTGGCGTTGGTGGTAATAGAGAAGAGAGAAAGAAAGAGAAATATATATATATATACGTAAATATATACATATATATATATATACATACATATATATACATAGATAAAAACAGAAAGAGAGAGAGGGAAAAACAAGGAGAGCAGATTGATAGAGAGAAACTCAGAGAAAGAGAGAGAGAGAGAGAGAGATAGAAGCAATTGTGAGATGAGAAAAAGAAACATGGCGGTCTGCATGTTCTGGCTTCTCACATACGTGGGTCAGGGGTTGGATCTGGCGGTAGGCAATCGGCCGGCGATCGTAGTGCAGAGCACACAGGGACTGGACTACCGTCACGGAGGTAATGGCATTAGGAAGAAGAGCGAGCCGGTAGGTGGTAACCTGTTGCAGTTCAGGATATACCCATCCGACGGCTCCTACCGGGACGACCTGTCGAATTGGTTGGTCATCAACGACGAGCCGCGGATATCCTCGTGGTCCCCGGCAGGCATACTGATCGACGACATGGTGAAGGAGCCGCGCGAGCTCCAGTCGGTGTTCTTTGCCCTGTCGCCCGCCGTCCTGAACGTCCTTTACTCCGACTACATGACGTCGCAGACGTCCGTCGCCGTCGAGCCGATCGTTCACGAGGACGGCAATTCACATCTAAACGGCGGCCGACCGTGGCAGCAGCAGCAGCATCAACGCGCCAAGAAGCGGCGCATGCTCGGCTGCAGGCATCCCACGAAGGGTACGCTCAGCTTACCGATATTGGTGTGCGACGGCAAGAAGAAAAACCCAGCGGGAGCGGCGATCCTTCAGGACCCATCCAGACAATCTAACTACCACGACGATCTCTACGAGCAGAGATTCAACACTGCGACGAGTACGAAGACTGATCTTGTGCGCGCCGATGGCATACCCCGTGAACCACCGATGAACGCCGGCTTCGTCCCGAGGACGCTCGTCTACGAGGCCAACAAGCTACCCGGCAAGCGGAATCAGATCTCAGTGGGACGGCGCTCGGCCGACGTGCAGGCCGAATCTCCGGGACACCAGGCTCAAGCGTCTGCCGCGTCCTCGGCGGCATCAGCGGCCGGCGCCAGCATCGCCTCGCAGTTCATGCTGAGATCCATCAGGGGCAGCATACAGTATGACGTGCCGCAAATCGGTAAGCTTTCGTTTCTCTTGACCTCACTCTGTCCCAGCTAATTTTCTTTCCCGACTGCAATCCTTCCAGGACGTGTGTGTGTGTGTGAAGATGTAGTTGATCTCCGTGAGAAATCAGACAGATCGAACAGGTTTCTAGAATTCCGCTTTGGCGCTTTTCCATTTGTTCCGAGTAACGCAGCTTTCATGAGTTGGGACAGTGATAACAGTCGTTGCGTGAAACTCAGCTCAAACGAGACACTCGAATTTGAGTTAGAGTTGAACGTGTGAGTTTCTCGATGGAATCGCGATCGCAAATAGGACGTCGCGCGTATCATGTGGTTCAATTGAGAAACTGATATACAATCCGACTCTAAAATCAGGTCTCACTTGGATTTCACTTGGGACAAGTTTTAAGTAACGACTCTTGACATGAACTTTGGACTCGTATTAATAGAGCAAAGAATTACTCGAAGTTCGAGTAACTCGACTATCGCGTTACTTTTTGAGCGGAATTTTACTCGAGAAAAGTTTTAAAAATGTACAAGAGAGAGAGAGAGAGAGAGAGAGAGAGTAACATCAACTTCTTCGAATATATTGACATATGATTCCTGTGATCTTTTATTTACAGAATGTCCTGTCTCCGAGGACGGAATGGAAAGATTCGCTTGTCCAACCGCGGATAGAATGGGTAGATATCATTGCATCGACGATCATGTCCTGTGCGACGGCTTTATCGACTGTCCTACAGGCGAGGACGAGGACAGGCAAGCCTGCATGTTTTACAAAACCGTGAGTAGAATCATACAGTCACATTTTCGTGTCTACCGTCGTTGTTTAACCCTCAATTACTTTCGTACTACTTAAACTGCTCGAGTATGTGCAACGATATTTGCGACGACACTCCTACACCCAAACTCCATGCATGTACTCGAGATTGAAAGTACGTTCGAAAATTTTGAAACTGTATACATTTTCTTGTGAAATGAGGAGAGTGAGGAGGATTCATGAAGGCTCCAATTTTTTCCATCGTCTGTTTTCCCGTTTCAAGAAATACTATCACGTCATGTAGCTCACGTTTGTGTGCCTCTTCTCCAATTTATTATAATAAAAATGTCCAACTTTGAAATTCTCTTCGCATACGAGGTCTGTCCCAAAAGTGTCCGACCTTTGGGCATATCTTTATTCTTGGATATCCTATTATGGAAAACAGGCGTTCAGTATTTCGGAGGGATCTTCAGAAGTATCCCCACCAAGCGGAACGACCCAACAGTTGTTCAGTCGGCAATGGTGCGCAGTTGTGTAAGCATCGAAAACTCCGTGCGTCGCATTTCACAATGACCGAGTGAGTCGAGCGGAGAATTTGCATTAAATTTTGCCAAAAACTTGGCCACACATATTCCGGAACAATCGGCATGATCCGTAAAGTTTATGGTAATGACTCTATAAGTGATACACAAATAAAAGAGTGGTTTAGGCGGTTCGAAGATGACCCAAGAAAGCACGCCAGAGCCGGAGCAACGTGAAGGCAATGCTTACTGTTTTCTTCGACCGGGAAGGTGTTGTACACCACGAATATGCTCCACAAGGTCGCACAATAAACATGGAATACTACTTTGAAGTTCTTAACCTTTAGAAGCACGGTGGGAAGTATACTTCCCGCGTTTTTTCTTTCAGGTTTTTGTCCATAAAATTTTCATTGCTATATTTGGACTGTTTTTTTTTTCAAATGTTAGGGAAGGTGAATGTAAAAGAATCGGCAAAATACACATTTTGTTCACTACAAAAGTGTTATAAATAACTTATAAAGTGTTATGAATTTTTTCAGAGAAAATACATTTTCTAGCGACTTTTCCCAAATTTAGGTGTTCAAACTTATATATGGGGTTCTTTGAAGTCGCTGATTACGAATTTGATGTCAGTCTTATAAGATTTTCAAAATTAAAGATGACAATCCAATATGGCAGACCGAAATTGGCAGACTTTCTCTCTCTCTCTCTCTCTCTCTCTCTTTCTCTCTCTCGCGAACACCCGATTAAAGATCAGAAATACAAAGTTATTTCGATATGTTTCAGACGAAAGCGCATTTGGACGTATTAGCGGACGCCATACTACGATGGGCGAGAGGGCGCTAATTCCTTTGTTGACGAAGAGAACCTCCAATCTGTACATAAAATCACAAGTCTGATACGTCTACTTCTTTATATATATTCATCGATATTCTTTTCTCCTACATTATATCTATTTTCCGGAAGCTGTTTTTCCTCTATGCTTGGCGCATAGAGACGTTCATATTGAAATCAAACTCAGGGGAATGTTAAGACGAACTGTTTCTCTCTTTCCCACTTTTCTTCCCTCCATCCTCATTCCTCGTCCTCCTTCTATCCTCTCTCTCTCTCTCTCTGATCTTTTCCTCTATCCTCCTCCTTTCCCCTCCTTCTTTTCCTCACTCCCTCCCCCCTCTCTCTCTTCCCCAAAAATGAATATGACCGCTCGATTTAACCTCCGAGGGGACACGGCATGGTTCTAACTACACTACTAAAAAAAAAAAACAAAAAAAATCGGTTAGCAAGGTCTATCGTAACCAAGATATCCTCACATAAAGTACAAATTAAGGTGTCCGAAACTTTTAGGATGTTACAAATAAAAGTTCGTAAGAGTTACGGCATTTTAAACGCCGCCCAGTTACGGCGCGCGAGAGTATCCGACTTGGATGATTTCAGTTCTACAAGTACCTATTACTGCTATACCACACAGATGATGATGATGATGATGATGATGATAATGTATTACGATTTCATATTGAGAGCGATTTCCGCGAGATCGTACTAATCGTACTTCTCTAACGACTTTATTTTGGTACAATAAAGTAATTTTGAAGACTGAGAAACTACTTTACTTCATTCCCAGAAAGAAAAGGTGAAAACAACGCGGCTTCTCTTCTCACTGTCGTCGATTCAGGGACGAATACGATATCGTGTGTTGTTATATAGCGAGGAACAACCTATCACTCCGAGCATACGCGTACGTAGACTTCCTCCTAGAGTACTTCCCGAGAGAATGTAACGTGAAGACAAAGAATTATACTCGAATTTAATCAAATAATCGCTCGTTGGAAACGACCTCGGATGCGTCGAGCGTACGTAATTAGTAAGACGCCTACGTCGAGATCCTGGGCGATACTAAGAGTCGAGTACCGTCACGAGACTAAAGATGGGCGATACAGTATCGATATTTCATATATATATCGATATTTTGATGCCAAAATATTGGTATTTTGTATCGCTTATTTTACTGTTCGATATTTCTCCGTATCGATACGCGACTTTTAAATATCAGATTTCGATACGGCAATGTTAATCGCTCGTGGTAGCGATTATTTTTTTCGACTTGACTATTAGAAATGGGCGATACAGTATCGATACTTTATGTATCTTTATTCCGATACCAAAACATTGGCATTTCGGTATCACTATTTTGCCGTTCAATATTTCTCCGTATCGATACGCGATTTTTGAATATCGAACTTCGATATGCGGCTATGTTGATCACCCGTGACAACGTTTATTTTTTCGCCTTGACTGTTCCTCAATTGTCCACCTAAAAGCTTTAGCAATTAAGTGTCAGTAATTAATTGCGACGTCAGTTCTTTCTTAAAGTCTGTTTTCTAAAGGAGGTAAAATAATGACCGAAAAACAAAATAGGTTGATGAGTGATCTCTGAATCAGTTTTTGTTTTTACAATTACTCGATCTCAGCGACCGACATTTATAAATACTTGATTTGGCATTCCGAGCTGACGTCATGTCCATCATAGATTTGTTTCCGACGTTCCGTGAATATTTCAGTTTACTTCTTCACGATGAGGTGCGACCCGAGACCGAGTAATTATAAATTATTATTATACTTTATAATATACGAAATATCATTTATTTTACAAGTAAATACAAATTTTACTCAAAATGTGTATTATTTTCATTTAGAAAATGTTAACGTAATTATATAAACATTGCTATAAATATATGTCATTCACATAGTTACATTCATATGACACATATAGTATATTTTTAATCAGGATTGGAAAGTAATTCGTTATTTGTAATACCATTACTGTTATAATCCGGTAGATACGTTTAATTGCAGCTATTAACTTCAACTACAATAATAAGTTTATATTCCGACGTAACTATTATGTACATATTTCAACATTGCAATATGTACATGTGCTATACTGAAATTACATCGTTGAATACGAAATTATAATCGATAATATCGATGTAAAATTATTTTTACATTTGAAGTTACATAGCTGCAATTGAACGTGTCGACCGGGAAATTATTTTCTTCAGTAACTGCTTAATGACAACATTATTCTTTAAAGGTAGCTTTCCCAACTTTTCTTTTAACATTTATATATAACTCAAGTATCGATATCGACGGTATCAATATCCGATACATTATGTATATCGATACTTTCATCCATGATACGTATCGATATATTCGTGTTGTATCGCCCATCTCTACGCGAGACGATATCTCCTCCGCCTTGTGCACGCTCTATGTTGTATCGATATATCTCTCTAATATTCATTTCGAATTTATGGAGCAAAATTTCCCGAATGAAAAAAAAAGATGAAAAAATAAAAAAAAACCGAACGAATGCTTTCAGCAAGAGTGAGTTACGAAAATAATTAATTAATTATTAGAATAATTAATTAATTGCACCTTATCTCTCGAGTAAGGTGACACAGGTGAATCTATCGAAAGAGCAATTCGCTGTCGTACCTTTTTTGCGTTCTGCGGCATTTATTTATTACGAGCCTTAATCACACTTCTTCGAAGAATTTTTGAATATATATGTAACAATCAACTATTGCTGCGAGAGTGAACAGAAATGAATTTCTCCTATGTTAAACTTCGACATTTGATGTTTGAAAATTATGACTTAGCGCGGTCATAATTTGATTTAATATAATAATATATACATATATGAAATATTACAGGCAGTTTTGCATTTTCATTTTCCATACCAAATCAAATATTCTCTCTCTGTTCGTCAACATAATATAATATCTAATATTAGAGGATGATGTTTCACAATTATAGACGGGTAAATAAAGAAACGACACGTATATTTTTCCAAATATCAACGGATACAAGGCATTTAATACATAAAAAAAAATTACAAAACTAGCTTCCCTTTTATATTACAAAGGTTTCGCAAAGTAAATTCTATCAAGGAGTTTATTACGATTAATCCATGTGTTACAAATAATATATGAAACTTTAGCGTCAAGTAATTTCACGTTAACAACACCATTAACGCTTCTTCGTTACCATCAACTGTTAAGTAATTAATAATATATCTTTAATTTTTAAGTTTATGTTTAAGTAATATTTAAATTTAAGTAATTAATAATATATCTTTCCATTTCACCTGATTTATCTTTATCAAATCATTACATTATAAAATAATTAGAACATTACTATATCATATTTTATTATTACTTATATTACTATTAAGTTTCTCAAAAACCAAAATGATCAACTTTGGAAATTCCTTAATTTTGGAAAGTTAGGCATATAAGCCAGCGGCTTGGGCACTAAAATTAAACTTCTTAAAGGCTCACTTATTGTCACATGATTTATCTTATAGCGGTGCCTACAAACTGTCAACAAATATTTCATCGTTTTTATGAGCTCTGGCAATACCATGTGTTTAAATTATACATTCGAATCTATCGGAATTAGCTTCGCGGAATATGTGTCTCGAAAAATTTATAAATAGGTGAATAAACCGTCGTGATTGTCTAATCTGTTACGAGATTGTCAAGAAGCGAAACATTCCTTTGCAATCTGTGTGAAGTTATAGCTCTCCGAGCTATTCCAAAGTTGGTCATTTTGGCTTTACCATGCCAATATAGAAGGCAACTCAAGTCACCAAGATTCCTAAGCTCAGGATCCAGAAACTTAAAGACCCTAAAGTATGTGTCAATGTTATGAGGAGAAAGTGACGAGGAACCGAACGCAGGAATGCGTGAATAACGAGAGACATAAATAAGTAATGGCAGATCCTCGAGTCACCTATCAATCGGGGTTGCAACGACATCATTCGACCGGCACGAGAACAGGCGTATAAAGAATGAATGGTTTGACGGTGAATGTGCGGAAGCGAATAGCTCAAAGAACGAGGCTTAATAGATCTACCAAAGCCGGGAGAACTGAATATGAAAAAAAAAGAGACTCTCAGAGGAACTGAAGGAAATTATTATATGTTTCCATTTACCTTGTTTTTGTTGTTTCATTTTTCACTAACTAAGCGAAAGAAGATATCGACATTATTCCAAATACACAATGCGGCACGAATTAGCATTGATTTATTATACGAAAAAAAAAAGGAGAAAACCCAAATTAAATATATAAGAATGAGTACACATTTAGTTTTTTCTTCCAATTTTCTGAAATGTGTTTCAAGTTACCAAATTAGGGTTCACAGCGACAAATGGCAGAAATATACTGCAATATCCGTTTGATAAAGGCAATCAGTATGTACAGAATGCACAATTCACGAACAAAAAGCGCAGGTTTTAATGAAAGCACTAAGTTGAAAAGATTCCGGATTAATTTCACACGGCATTACACTTATTCGCATCGGTATTATTATTCCTTATCTCATGACATTTCGCGAGATTAACGTAGATCACGCTCATTCCCGTTTATCGTAGGACGCAATGATACGATGATGTCTGCGGTGGTCGCGACACTCGCACACACCATCGCTCGCGTACACCGGCATTTTACGGGCGTTCACGCCATTCACGTCCAAGGCGTAATACTTGACAGGTTGACTAAAATTTTGCAGATGCACCACTTGACGACGATCCTCGAGCTGTTGCGGGCACGTATACGGAACATGGCCTACCACCAGTGGTATCACACCCAAGTGACCCACACTTTTCTGTGGATTAATGTCACCGTTGCATGTCGGGACACACAAGCATCCAGTCGTCAACATTGTCGCCCGTGCGGCTTCCGCGTGATTCTGACACGCTTGCGAGATGTTACATTCGTGCAAACAGTCGGAACGATTGAGACAGGTATGCTCGTCTTCGCGACGAGACACTTTTCTAATCCTGTATTTTACCTTTGCTGGCTCTACGTTGAAGTTCGAGGGGAAGTTTTTGTCGTGTAAAGAGAAAAACGGTGAAGGTTGATAGCTGGACGAGTTGTAGCAACTTGAATGAATAGGAACGTATGTGTCCATAAATACGTTCACAGTTCGCGGTGGAGGCTGATTCTCGATCATTGTCGCTGCTTCGGTTAACATATCGAGGGGATTTTGCAAACATGCCGTATCGCGGAATCGAACAATTTCGTTTTCTTCTCTGTTCTTCGAATCATCGATGTACAGGTCTGTACTGGGCTTCTCGAATATTCCCGACTTCGTCTCTACTTTCATCGATTCCGTTCGAAATTCCGGCACCTTCAGCCTTCGAGAGAATCGTCGATTCACCGTGCTGGGTGTCGGCAGATTTCGAAACATGTTAACGAAATCCTTCTCGCAAAACTTCTCCTCGTTACTTGACCGGGGTCTGTCTATCGCCTTCGGATATATCTCAGATGTATCGTTCGGCTCGTCACTGTCGTAAATAGTGATAACTTCTCCGTCGTCCAGCTGCGTTGAGGTTTCTTCTTGAGACCTTAGAGAAAATAGTTTCTTCGGTGGCAATTTCAAATTATCACTCTGTGAGATTGAGGCGTTGAAGTGTCTCTTGTCCCGCCATGGATGAAAATCTGCGGACGTTATCCGAGCGATGCTGAAATCGGTGAAATTCTCTCCATTATATCGACCACTTTTCGAAGGATAACTAATGGCTTTACGATTCTTCAGAAACTGGATGATAGATGGCTGCGAATCACTGGAGTGTACGTAAGTCTGATGTTCCGATAATACAAATAACTCAGGCGATCTTGAATTTGACGATTTTTCAGCTGTTTTGGGCGGTTTTACTTCCGGACAATCGCAAATATCCTTCAGCTTCCTTCGCGCTACTAAAAGAGGATCTAAAATCGCAACATTAATGAATAATCAATGATTAATAAATTAATTAATAACCGACTGAATAATGTATAACAGGTTATGTTATATGCAATTATAGTGAAATTATACAGGGTGGACCACGTAAAGTGTTACAATCTAAAAACTCTAAAAATATTTGTCATATCAAAAAGTTGTTCATGAGAAAGTTTCATATATTCTTTCTTTGTAAACCAAAATCCTCCCCCGCTCCCTTTTGAAGGAGGACGGGGGGTAACTTCGTAATTTCAAATGGAACCTCTTACAAAATGTTACATATTTGGGTTCTATGAAAAATAGAACAAGTAAATTTTATCTAGAACATTTCTTTAAAAAATGCTTCTAACAAAAGTTATAAACATTCAAACTTTAAAGTAGAATGCATTCAAGCTAATGATAAAACTCGTATTTTACCTTCTGCTTTAATTAGTACATTTTTCAATTCGTCGCACACTTTTTGGCATAATTTCGAGAGAAAATCACGTTTCTCCGAGTTGCGAAGTGTATTTTTATTATATTCCAAATATGTTATTTCTCTTTTCTCTTCGGCCTTTTCTTTTTCCTCCATCATTTTTTCTGTCTCAGAATTGCAAATAATAACGACCCTGTAAAGAATATTTTATGCTATAAGTATTTTTCTTACTATTAAGTTCTCGGTCATATATTTTCACAAGTAATGGTAAATAATTTTTGAACGTGGTCTACATTATAATAACATAAACATGATATAAATTGTATTGCTACTTACTCAGGAATATCAATTGGTTCAAATAGAATTTCCATCTCTTTATTCTGCATAGAAGTATCTTCCAAATGTTCCTTCCGACTTTTACTGCAATATTTTTAGTTTTCATTTAATAATGTTTTTTTAAATTTTCTAGACTATTATAGTAACTATAAAATGCCGCTATGAGATGTCCCATTAATCGATTTCTTAAGATAAAATTGCTACTATTTTACAGTAAAGGTGCGTTCGAGGAGACGCTATTTAGCGCTACCCCGTCATTTTATCCTTGTTGTGCAAGTAGTAAAGAGTAATAAAGATAGAATAACGCGGTAGCGCTAATTAGCGTCTCTTCGAACTTGAAGCAATTTCATATTAAAACGATCGTTTAGAACACAATAGGTCTGTTCGTTTTCGCTGCACCGCCGACCTAGTGCAATAAGTTGAAGTGAGAAAACATATACTTGTCTCTCTTCAACTTATTGCACTAGTTCAGCGATGTAGCAAAAACGAACAGACCTAATGTCACTCTAGCGATTTTTTTTTCTTATAATTTGTATTAAGGTTCGTAGGTAGCAGTGATGCCAATAATGCCAGCGAGCCACAATGCACACAAGCGTCGCATGTTCGTGAACGTGTACAGTTTCGGCCGTTTTTGGCTGACTCGACGCGAGCCAACGTATCCGCTGTCTCTCCTTTTCCAATAGCTGACTACTATTGTTACTACAGCCGAAGCTACGCACGCTCACGGACACGTGTCATCATTGGCATCACTGCTGGATAGTCGCTGCAACTATCTTTCTTTGATGACGTCAAAAAACACACGTCAAGAATTCTTACGTTATACGTTCAAATAAAAAGATATCATATTGACAAAATGACATTTGTGATCGATTCAATATACTTGTAAAATTGTCCGTGCACTTTTACTCGAATAAGCAATAAATAGTCGTGAAATTAACATTGACAAAATCATAAGAAAAAAAGTTAAAATGAATTCCGTGTCAAATTAATTTTGCGGCTATTTATTGTTCGAGTAAAAGAAGAGTGCACGGATAATTTTACACACCGTGTACACCGAACAATTCAATTAATTTTCTGTTAATTATGCTAATATAGATTCTGTGTTACTAAACAACATTAGACTGCCGCGGTTTACCAATTATCTAAGTTATTAACCAACCTTTGTTTCCTTCCTAATACAGGACTCTTTTCCGGAATATGTAGCGATTCTTCTGAATTATTTTCCACCGACTCTTTATCAAATAATTGATTGGTAGATTTATCCTCCATTGTGTTTCTTAATGCGTGTCTGAAAAATAAAATATATCACACATATAAAAATAAATTTGACTTTATATTCATTAGATGTTCACAAAAGTTTGTCAAATTTTACGGCTTAGTTAAATTTAAAACCGTTCAATCAAAGTATCTATCATTGCTATATATTTTCTGTTACCTTTCAAGTAATTATGATTTTTCCTAAAATGACATTGTTTGAGATAATAAAATCAGGGACAATTCATGGACAATTTGACAAACTTTCAGGAGCTTTTTTATTGTACATGATAGGAAATATAAATTTCAGTGAGATATTTACATTGTTTCTGTTTCTCCATCGAAAAGTTTCAACACATCTCCTGCTAATCTGGCTTTAGAGACCACATTTTCATATTTTCCTGTTGTAACATATTATGACAATTAAAGATATATTTTCTCATTAATTTGTGCTTTAAAATAAAATAAAATAAAATAATCAATCATATACCTTTCTTGATAGTTTTACTCTTTGTGCCATTTCTGAATATACCTGCATATACCTGCAAATATAATTACATATAAAATAATCTCAATTGATATGTAAAACTTAATATATTGTTATTATTTAATAAAATTACTAGATAATGTTACCTACTGGCTTTATATATTTGTTGTGGATTTTTGACAGTATCGGCTTGCTGTGCCAATTTTCATTGCAATTTTTTTCTACTTTATCCTATAATAAATAAATAAACATTCTATAAAAGTTATGCAAAGATACCACTGTTATAACTAATTTACAAACCACAAGATGTATGTTAATTGTATTCTTTCATATGTACTAATCTATTGTAAAAATATGATGTTTAACTGTATTGAATAAAAAATATTTTTCTGATGAACTGTTCAAACTATCTTGTAATTTTCCTGCTTTCCTCATTTTTCTATATCAAATGTTAATGTATATTTGTATCATTTAAAGTGCCATTTAAAAAAAGTACAAGAGGCACAATTCAGTATTGTGAGTGCAAGCAATAAGAAACAAATCTCATGGGTACTTAATATCACGGATCTGTTTTCTGTTGCTACATCAGTTTACATTAATAGTTCTTTTTTCCTTTCTTCTCCATGAAATCTCAAGAAAGACAGAAGAAGATGAAACTAATGTGCAAGCTGCAGTGCAGTAAGTTCTGGGCTGCAATAGGAACTTTAAACTCTAAGCCTTAAGAAATTGACCAATCACAGTCAAATATGAGGAGAGTAATCGACTGTGATTGGTCAATTTCTTAAAGTTAGAGCTTAAATTCTTATTGTAGACCCCGTTTTAATAGAAAACTGATTCCTTGTTCAACTAACTTAACCTACTTTCTACCTAACTTCTTTGCATCAGATACATCCGTGTAACAATGTGGTTCATGGAAGGTACGAATATGTCGTTCGACATTGTAATAATCCGCGCGTAATAATTTCTAACATTCTTCATATACACATTCACGCGTGATTATATTTCCGTGATAATAATGTCAGTGGACATGTTACAGAAAACATCTGTTTATGTTTCTCAGTTATGGCTGGGACAGCTTTAAGACTCGTCTCCATCATCATCATCATATATAGTCACAGCAAACATATTCACAGCACTTTACTTATTTAATCCCAGTCTACAACATATGCTTTAAACTCTAAGCCTTAAGAAATTGACCAATCACAGTTAAATGTGAGAAGAATAATCAACTATGATTGGTTACTTTCTTAAGATTTTAAGGTTAAATTTTCATTGTAGATCCCATTTTAAGCGATGTCTACAACGAGAATTTAAGATGTAAAATTTAAGAAACTGACCAATCATAATTGACTTTTCTTGTGTAATTCGACTGTGATTGGTCAATTTCTTAAGCTTAAAGTAACCATTGTAGACCAAGACTAAGTGAGTGAAGTGCTGTAAACATGTCTGCTAGGACATATGTACTGACATTATTATCATCATGGATAATAAACAAAATTATTATTATATATCATGGATAATTATTAGAAAGCTACCAGTAGTAACTATAAATAGAATTTGTGTTAAAATTGACAGCGCGTATCCTTCAAACTCACCCATGACACGGCAAATGGCGGATCTTACATGCGGATATACTCGCGATGCCGGACAATCAAAGTACTCGGACGGTCCTTGTTAAAACTTACTCGCTTTACACATTCGGAAAAATTCGCCCGAAGCAAATAAAAGACAGCCATTTGAAAATCGAGTAAAATCGTAAAAAACGAGAATAGTTCGAGCATGAATGAAGATAACACAAATCACGACACAAACTTACCGACTTTCTCTTTATTTTCGAGATCCTCGAGTGCATATCGTCGAGATCTTTCCTGCGACGTCTTCGTTTTGGTTTAGGGACTTCGTCCTTATTCAAAAACTTTCCTCTTGTCTTGCCCATTATTTAATCGAAATATCGAATATATAAGTTTTTACAAAACTCACGAGATATTTCGTTAAATTAATCTGCCAGGACCAGTCTAACGCTGATGAACGCGAGTACTCGGAAATGATGATGGCCAGCGTCTACCTTCACGTTGCTTCTCTAGTATGTCCTTTCCAGAAGTATTTACCAAAAGTATTCACCAATCACAAGAAATACGCTCGTATTCCGAGATCTCTTTTACTGATAAAAATAGCATTGTAAAAGCTTAGGAAACACCTGATTGGCCCCGAAGCCAGTAACTTCGGTTAACATAAACGACCGATCGACTCAACGGAATTGTCCAATTAGCTAAAGCCAGCGACATATGATGCTCGTATTTTATTCGTGCTGGATTGCTTGCTGGATAATACTGCGTTTTGAGTGATAATACTGAGTTTTGAGTAGTATATTATTATCCATTTTTGGAAATGCACCAATCAGAATGCAGTATTTCTATCCAGCAAGCAATCCAGTACGAAAACAAGCATCGTGTGCCGCTGGCTTAATTAATTCGTGTCGTTGGATTTAAAGGTATTTTTATCGATAACAGAGAGTTCAAAACACGGGCTAAAGAGTTTGTTCGCATTAGTGTCGGCATACAAAAGGTATTTTAAACCTTAAGCCTTAAGAAATTGACGAATCACAGTTAATTATTCTCTTCACCTTCGACTGTGATTGATCATTTCTTAAGGCTTAAAACTTAAAGCAACTATTGTAGATCGACGAAAGTTCGCGCGATAGCCAATCAACGTGCCGGTTTTTCGGTAAGAACTAGAAGTTTCTTGGCTACCGCGCAAACTTCCATCGCGCGTTACTGCGTAGGCAGTAACCATAATGGCCAGTATGTCTCTCGGGAGATTTCAGAACGACACACACGAATGTACACTGAACCATACTGAGTATTATTGAACGACTAGTATGCTAGTAGTGCACATGGTGTGGACTTCCGAACGCAACTTTAATTGAAGATTGAGTTAATCAGATTTGCGCAAGTGGCTCTTAAATCCGTATCAGACTGCGGATTGGAGATTGAGACTGAAATGAAATTTGACCAATCAGTGCAAAGTTCACTAGATTTCACTAAACTTGAGTTCACTTAACTTTGTGCTGATTGACCAAATACAATTCAATCTCTATCTCCAATTCGTTGTCTTATATGGATTTTAAGTGACATTTTCGATTTGACTCGACCCTACTTGGGCAGCATTCCGGTATTCACTATAATTTTATAAATATTAATAAAAATATTACAACTTATATGTAATTTGAACATCTAAATGACATCAGGCGATCGTTTTCTAAAAAAAAAAAATAACAAAATAACTATTCCAGGGTTAAGAAAGTAAAAATCCTACAAAACCAACTTATAAAACAGAACGAACTTTCACACTTTGTATTCTGGGCATATTCTTAGAATATTAAACGCAATATTCTAAGAATATTGTGGCAGTATGCAGCGCCCCAAGGAGCCGATCCCCGCAGCGCACGGCACTGCCGTCAGGCAGAAAGTACGACCGCTTTAAGTCGCGGCGCCGCCGCCAGACAGCGCACGACCGCTTTAAGTCGCGGCGCCGCCGCCAGACGGCGCACGACCGCGGAGTTTTCTCGCGGCAGAATCTCCTCGCGGGGTATATAAGACGATGCAGCGAGAGACCTGGACGCACAGCGCTCGTGGCGCCAACACATGTTACTCTGTCAAGTAAAAACTGGCTTTTATAGTGTACGTTTTCCAAGCAGCTAAACAAAAAATGTCGCAGATTTTTTCTGCAGCTGAACAGACCTGGTCCAGGCGGGGAGGATTTTTCCAGTTACATATATAAATATGTGAATGTTTATGTATATTTTTCTATATTATCAATATCTTATGTTTTTATATTCTAAGAACATTTTCATAATATGCCGATAATATTATATAAGTGCACATGTCCCTAAGTAGCTAGCAAGATGACGTCAAATGACGTTTTAATGATAATACCTTATTGACGTCAGAAACGTTATTAAGACGTTATTCGAAGTCACATTGTTACTTGGAATAACATTGATAGAACATTCTTATAATATTAAGAAATATCGCATAACATCACATAATATTACATAACATTCTTAGAATATTATGAGAAATATTATTTTAATATTGAATAATATTCATCTAATATTCCAGGAATATCACACGCTTATAGGTTTTTAACGATTATTCATCGTTTCTCCGTAATTCGCGCTGCAAACTTTTATTTAATTTCAGAACTAGAAATCAGCCGTGAATCGGCAGAGAGCCGTGATGCGTCACTCGCATTCGAATTGTCAATCAACGTGCCGACTGAAGTTCAAGGTATTCCTCGATAATTCGTCGATCACGCGTGCGACGAATGGCTGGCTTCGCGTGCGAGCACCAACGATTTCGACGAGTTGCAACGCGGATTCATCGCGATTTTCACGATCCGGCACGTATGTGTTGTGTGTGTGTTTAGAGTTCAGAGTAGACAAACATTGTAGACTGTGCCGTAAAACAGATACGGTTAATAGATGCTCGTGATAAATTTCGCTGCGTGAAGAGAAGTGACGAAGCCAGCCGCCCGGTCGTTGAGCTGATTGAGTCTGGCTCGTGCCGCGTTTCTCACGACCCGCGTCGTGCGATTTGTTGTTGACCCAACTTTCAACAATGAGCCAGATAAGAGAGACGGCGGGAAGAAACGGCCGCTCGCCGCCGATGACGGCGACTTTTCGTTGCCCACCGGTCGTTGCCATCTGGCATCATCGTCGTCATCGTCATCGTTGTCATCACCAGCTGCGTCCTCTTATTCTCGTCTCACATCTACAACTCCATCGGGCGGGTGCTCGTCCAGCGGACTTAAGCTCGCAATCGTGGTATAGTTAACTGGCCGGCCGACCGAGTTTTTTTCACAAGTACGATAGATGTACGTACGGAAATACGGAACAAAGCGGAGTACAGCGGAACGGAGAGGAACGAAACGCGACAGCGAGCGATTTGCGATCGCGAGTGAACGAGCGAGCGAGTACATGTGCTTTTTGTGATCCGTGAGTTCGTCGCTGATTTTCACACGTAAGTGGGAAATCTGGGATGCGCGTATGTCCCGATACGGCGCCACTATGAGCTCGATTAAGTGAGTATTAATCGTGATTTCTTTACTTTTTCAACGTTCGCACGTCGAGAAGCGTCTTGTATGTTGTGTGTGTGTGTGTGTGTGTGTGTGTGTGTGTGTTTTCACTTTCACAGAATTTATATATGTTTAATTGAATTACTTAATAGAATTGACAGATCCATTGAAGTATATTCACTATCCAATACTATTGCAGGTTTTAGGATTTTTATTTGTTACTTAGATGAATGATGACGATTAGTAAATTATAGAAGTTTATTGTAACTATTTGTTTTATTTGAATTTTTTTAGTTCGGTGTGACTGTCCGACCGAATGAAATAAGAACTTGTGTAGGAATGCAATTATGAAATAAGCACGCATTTCGCGACTACCCTTTCTAAATTTGACATATTTAACGTAAATTGTAAATTTATGCAATAGTATGCCCGCAGATCTGCACGTTTCTTCGTACAATACGTTTTAATAGTTTATTTAGTCGATTCAACTCTGAATAAAAGTCGTTCATATTGCCATAGGCCAACTAAATACTTGGTAATTAATATCAAATTTCATGACAGTTACCAAATATTCCATCGAAAGCTTTTATTAAATATATTTAGTAAGTATTACCAGTCTTTTTTTTCGGTGTATTACTCTATCGTTTCATTATAAACTAAACGTTCAAATGCGCGGCGGCGAGTTATATTTTGGAATCAAGCGCTGCGCGCTGTCAAAATGATGTCTAGGTCGGCGCTTACGTGCGTTGAATATGCGAAGGAAGGCGTAAATCCCGATGTGTCATATTGTTTTAGAATTGTCTCCCAATTGAACAGCTCAAAATAGATATTAGTCACATATAGATATGCCGGAAATTTCTCCCTATAGGGTGTTATCACACAGCGGATTCGGCGGCCTGCATTAATGTGCATCGAGTGCGGATGTTTCCGGATGCCCCACACCCATTCGGATGATTTGCTCTTTGTGTGCGTTGATATCCCTTAGTGTATTGATATCGATGTCGATCGAAGCGCTCAACACTATCGTGCAATTTTTGTATATAATGATTTCTTGATATTTTTATCCGGATGGTTATTTTTCAAAGAAATATTTTCGACGTGGATTTAGCATCCGTGCTTTGTCTCGCCTTTTCATTAAACCCCTCACGTATGCTTTTCTCGATGCGCGTGCATCATTGCTACGATACGTCAGTGGTGATCAAGGCTCGGTAATCGAGTCTTATAAGGTGAGCAATCAACATTAGAATCACGATCGGTACCGATGAGATTCCGCTCTTTCGAGGTTTCATGTTTTGCTCTACTAGTTGCATGATATTCTCTTTCGCACATTACAACCACTTTTTCGCGAGTTTTGTCCTAAGCTTCGTGCGTATCATTCGAATTTAATCGGTCACTTCTTTGCTTGTTGTTTGTCAAAATACGAGATATTTTTATCTAACTAAATTACTAATTTTTAGACGAAATTTATATTTTTTAAATTTAAGTTATTTTAAAATATAATTAGAATATAATTAAAATGTAAATAGAATTATGAATTTTTAATTTTAATTTATTTGATTATATCTATATTGCTTGAAACAAAAAAAGAAAGGTTAAGATTTAACGAAATGGCGATAGATTAAAACAAAAAGTTTGATAATAGAAATCGAAATTTTTAGTTTTTTGATTACTGTGTTTTAGATAAACTGAAAAGTTGTAATTGTGTTTATTGTTATGTTGACAAAGAATGTACGAAATAACTTGTAACATTTAAATTAGGAAATATAAACAGATCAATAAAAAAATAAATAAATGTTATTTAAATATGTATGTAATGTAAATATGTATAATATAATTAAATATGTATACGTAAACTTATACTCACGTAAGTCGAACAGTTTAAACAAAAGAAATTTCAAAGCTCGCTAAACAAAACGTCATGTAGATAAGAATCTATCTCCCCTCTTGAAAATATAAGCGATCAAATCTTCATATGTGCAATTATCTTGATTCGTTAATTTAGGTTACGTGCATAGTCGCGCATGATTACTCACTGTAATAAAATCAGTGATCTTTGTCGATATACAGGGTGTTCCTTTAGTCGAGATCAATCGTTCAGGAGGTGATGAGGGCCCCAAAAACAAGGAAAAAAAGTTGATATGAACATACGTTCGGAAATGCGATGTTTTCAATCATTTTGAATTATCATTATTTTTAATTTTGATAAAAAATTCGAAATAAAGCAATTTCAAGCCACAACATAAAAATGCGATAATTCGAAACAAGGCGATAATTCGAAAACAACACATTTCCGGATGTATGTTCATAACAATTACATGTATTTTCTGTGTTTTTGAGTCCCCCATCACGTCCCGAGCGATCGACCTCAACTTATGGGACGCCCTGTATAATTAACTTATCGATCGCCGGCCTCCGCTGATTGACTTGCACTCGTTTCCTCGATAACGACTAATCTTATCGTATCCTGAGAAAAGAAAAATAACAAAGAAAAAGTATAGTACAGGCCGAATGCGAAAGTATAGCGCGTGAAAAAGTGGTCTTTTCATTGGTGCGGCTCGTAACTTATCTTTACGCATTTGTACGTTTCCTCCGAGTGTAACGAAGCGTTTTTCACTTTTCCTCATGCGCGCGTTTGCTCGTAAACACGTTTCGCGGTAATATTTTCGCAGCTGTACCTAGACGTTTTTGCGAGGTGCATACGTTGCAATGCGAATAGTTTATCGGCAGCAGCGGGAAGTTTTTACTCTTTGTGATCGGCACAGCTCGACCTTGAACGATCGAGTTTTTAACAAATCTAACTGTTATGCCTTCATTTGAAATTATTTTCGTCTCCTTTGGTCTGTTCTTTTTAGCTACACGGCTGAACTGGTGCATTAAATTAGAGCGAGACAAAATATACTTATCTCACTCTAAGTTATTCCATCAGTTCAGCAGTACAACCAAAAAGAACAGACCATTTGTTTCAATTGGTCAGTCCATTTTAAGCCCTATCAGTTTACTGTAAAGGTCGACCCGATTGCCGATTACGAGTGCCAACTTTTAATGGACCAATTATAAGTTATTAATAATTACTAGTTACATAACTATGATAGGCCTTTCAAGAGTCGACAGTCGTAACCGCCAGTTAGATCGGCCTCCACAGTCAGTAGTCTGATATGGGCTTTACAGAAGAAGACTGAAATAATGACTGCGTTCTAAGAACTGTTCTAAGAACTGTTCTAAGAACACAGCGACTAATGAGCAGTCAATGATTATTGGTCTTTTTTGTTAGATCCTTAAATTTAAAGCGAATATGTTGACGAATTACTTAATCGTTATGCAATTTTATGGTCTGCGTAATTTACTTTATAAATTTTTATAAAATCTCTCATGAAATTCATTCTGCGGCCATTTCTTACAAAGGCACGTGACTTTGAATTTTATGCATTTTTAGCACCGATTTCAAATGATTCTTTAATTGTTGAGGAATGTAATTATCAAATGTATACTGCGATAACGCGAGATTATCTAAATGAGATATAGGTCAGATCTTGTTAACACGTAAACTATGTCTTATCCGCTTGTTTTAAAAATATTTATGTATATTCTACTTTATACGTAATACATTCCATATACTGAAAAAACAAGTCTTACTGGAACAGCAAGTTGTTTGTTAATATAGTAACAGCAAAAATATTTGTTACACACGTAAAAAATAATTTTGCTATTATGTTAGCAATCCAAGTAACAACAAAATGACGTCAAATGATGTTTTAATGACGTCTCATTAACGTTAGAAACATCATAAAGACGTTATTAAGATGTTATTTGACGTTACCTTGCTACTTGGGAAGATATCGTTGTGATAGCAGTAAAATTCAACTGGCACTGTCAAATTATTTTACTGTTCATATATCTAGCAAATAGCAATTAATATTCTGAACAAATTTTTCTGCTGTTCGAAAAAATTTCTTTTGCTGTCACTATATTAACAAATAATTTGCTGTTCTAGCAAAATTGTTTTCTCCATGTATAAACATTGATTTTATCCGCTTGTTAAATAATGCTGTCAAGAAATACGACAACGAAACGTGTGGGTAAATTTGGCCGCGCCGAGTTACATTCGTCCGCTTAGTTCAATTTTTTCTCCGTTTTTACAAACGATACAACAATAATTCAGCTTCCGTAGTGGACGAGAAAGTCGATGTGACCCGTGGCGGCTGGAATTGTCTGGTTGAAACCAGTTACACGATATGATATTTTTCCAGATCCTTTCGATATACTGGGTAATACTGAAAATACATTCTGGGAAAAATTAGCCATAGGAGCTCAAAAATCTAGTTGTGGTAGCTAAGATGTGTCTTTGTAATAGGGACAGCTAATGTTGTTGCTGCCACGGTTAAATTTATTAATTGTTTAAATTTAGACGAAACTACAGCGAAAAATATGAGGTTGCACAACAGAATTTAAATCATATTCATACTTCTGACCAGAAATTTATCGCTTTTTTTTAGAGATTCTCTCCTAAAGGCGTTAATGTATTCTGATTCTGTCCGAAATTTAGTTATTTACCTGATTTAATGTTATATAGGTAATAGGACTTTTTTGTTCGACTCAATGAGTTCTATACCCCCATGAAGCGGAGCTCTGAGATCACCCTGTATATAGTATATAATCAAAGAACTCAGCTAACCAACTTTAGCTACTCATGCTAATGATTTCAGCCAATAAAGTCGCAGCAAATGCATTTTAACTCTAATAGCCAACTTTTAGCAGTAACAGCCAAGTTCAGACTAGTTAATGAGGTTTAACCGATGTAACCGAGTCATTTTTTTGCGTATATCTTCAGCGCTTGTAACGTTTATTGCACTTCTACTAGATAAATCAAAAGCAAAATTATCTTTATTTCATCTAAGATGTATTTTTCGGATTTTCATCCCATCTTCCCATCATCCCATCATCTGGATAAATCTGAAATCATCTCAGGCAAACACTATATATGTAAATCAAATATTTCTATACCCGGATATCCGAATTCTTGCAGTAATCAACCTACAGTTATCAAATACTGAGAAAGAAATATTTGATATTTGTAACTATAATCGTATAAATAAAAGACATATAGTTAAGAATTTTTCTAGTGTGTATGGTATCAATGACCTTACTATTTTTGCATTTTCTAATATCAGTGATTAATAATATAACTTTATATGTGCATTGCTACTAATTTTTAGGTTAAAACAAGAACAACTTTTTGTTAGAATAAGAAGATGTTCTCTCAGGGTATACAGGATACATAGAATGAAAAAAGTATTTCCAATACCATCATGTGTTTGTCTTTGCATAAATATATTATCTCTGTCAACCTATGTGTAAAAATATTATGATCGACGAGAACTAAGTATTCTGTCAGATATTTCATATCTGATTTTCGCACACACGCATATTCGGATGTAAAAATGAAATATTCTCTATAAATATTTTGATATGAAAAATAAATATTTTTTTCTGTAAAGTGCCTGTTTTTTGTCCACTTTACCGTGATACGTTTATGCATGAAACGACTTGAAAAATAAACAAGAAAAAATAAAAATAAAAATAACTGAATATTCGAGTATAGTTCCTGAATAGTTGGATATTCGAATACCCACACTGGAAGAAGAAAATGGTTAACATCATTAAAATTATAACTGTTTTCGGCGCTTCGAATTATATCCTCTTATTGTTCTACTAGAAAATAGTACAAACAATATATATATAAAGTTATTATATTACTAACTCTCTAGTAATACTTACTATATTGTAGTATTTACTACTATTGTAGTAATTACTACTATTGTAGTATTATACACAAAAATGACTTTTCTAACAATGATTCTTTCATTACGCAGTTATAAATACAAACTAACTTCATTACATCCTCGTCGGCAAGAAGTTTAAACAACTTACGATATAAAAAAAATCAAAGTGGTAGTCCATGTTAGGACTCTCTCTTCTACCCCGATGGTAATCTGAGATACCTGAATGCCTGACAACAACATAAATATCCTTTCCTTATCTCTTTGCTTGTCCATCGAAAATCCTCGCCGTATTCGTTGAAACACACCAAAACGTCCGGCAGTATCCCAGAGACAACGGCACCTCGTCGATGCGGAGAGGCGATGCCCCTCAACAAATTTTCGGAAGAATTCCCCACTTCTCTTTCTCCATCCCGCTCCATCGCAGGTTTCATGTGCCCCCCTCTACACACTCGCTCAAACACCGTAGGGCTCCGCAGTGGCGTACGTTTACATTCGAAGACAGTTCCGAGTCGCGGCAAGACTAATGCAGACAGGTGCCGCGTCGATGTCCAGCAGGTACGCGGGTTATTAATTAGTTTATCGCTTATCGGTGATCGTACAAGAGGTATGCGCGGCGTAATCTCAGCGCAGAAAAGAAGAAGCGAAGCGGAGACGGGGGTTTGAAAACGTGAGAAGATTTAATCACATCGCACATAAACACATATACTTCTCGCTTGTTATGACGGACATGTGTGCTCCATTTTAACGTAATAAAATATGCAGATTCCGGCGAGGATACGCGGAAGCGTTTTCGCTCGTTGTCGCGATAAAACGCGGTCGTAAGTGCCGTCCTTGTAAGTCCGACGATTTGCGTCGACGACGACGCTGACGAGAGCGTATCTCCCGAAGCGCTGCAGTGGTAAACAAAACAGGCGATACACGCTGGAAGACGAAAAGAAAACACAAAAGAAAACACACACGGACGCACGTAATTGGCTGCCGATAATTACCATCGTTGTCTGCTCATCGAGTACCGAAGTACGTATCTTACATTTTAGTATGTCGTTACATTTGCGCGATTAGGCGACGTATATATCGTGTCGACGCGACGCGACATGTCACGATAGAGTTCAGTGTCGCTCGAATTCAACGTTCCTCCGCGTTGCATCTGAAACGATCACGCCGAGGCACGTGCCTGATAGAAATCTGTGCGGTTTTACCAGACACCCAATCAGTTACCGTCTAGTATCACTGCATTCTCATTAATTGCATCAAAACTGCGCGGCGAATGGGCAGAAACTTGATACAGTTTTGTTTAGCGCCCGAAGCAGTTTTCTTGGTAAAAATATGCACAGTTTGCGCGGGGCAATTGCCCAGTTACTGTCTAGTATTACTGCATTTCACAGATGTGTCGAAATTGCGCGAAAACTGGAAGAGAACTAAACATAGTTTTATTAAGTTTTACACAGCACGCACGTGCATGATAAAGATTATACTATGTTAAATTACATGAGATTTATCGTTCGAAGGGGATCTTAGCCCATATTTGAATCTCCTCCTCCTCTACAAATACTAAAATTTGTTCCCCAACGTATGATCGCTCGAACGGTGTCGTGCCGACGTTTTCCTCGTGAATTAAGAGACAAGAGGAAAAAAGCGCGAAAATAATATTCCGTTTCGCCGCTTTGTTTATTTCTTACTTCCCGCGTGCGCGTAAACCACCTCGAGGGATTAACTTGGAGCCCGTTCGGATCGCAGGAACTTTCCCGAGTCGAGTCACCTTGCGCGGATAATGATCACGATATTAAGCTACGCTCTATTAATTTATTAACGTTGTCCGTTTCCTCGCGAGAAGTACGCTTTCCGCGCGGGAACAATGTCTGCCTCGTAAATCGCGAGAATGGATAAACTTCGTAATGATTCGAAACTTGGTTTACGCCGCGGGTCTCGAACGAGATCCTTGAGAACCGTGCTGTGAACGGAAAGAACGGGTGTGCGATCGCTATTGGCGTTTTTTTTTTTTTTTTTGGTTATTCGACGTGGAGAAAACAATAATCTTGTGACATATCGGGATAACCTGTGTGATTGTTTTGTGCTGACGGCAAATGGGAAAATACCTCGTTCGCCGTGGCATCCAAATTTTCTCCTCAACACCATTCGGCCCTTTCTCCTGTTGTTGCTGTCGAAAAATCAATAATAGCACCGCGCGTACCGTAGAAGTTAACCGCGCACTTGCGAGAGGTCAGCACAAGGCTTTTAGCGCGAAACTTCTTGATGATGTGCCGAATAGGCGCTGTTCCTAATATTCGGCATATAAATTAATTCGTGCTGTATTTTTTTTCATTTATTTTTCAATAAGATGAATACATTAATCAATCATTAAAATATTTCCCGCTAACATCGATGACCATACGCCATCTATCGGGCAACTTTCGGATTGCATCGCGATGGAAACTTCGTGGCTTCGAAGCGATGAAGTTGTCGACGAAGTTTCCCCGAGCTTTGGACGGACCGCAGTTCGGAGGACTACACGATTTTTCCTACACGGTGGTGGAACCCACCCTTCCGGCATGCCGATACTCTACTTCCCGGAAATCAAAATGTCGGGCATCCGATCCCGGCAGTCGACCTCGCGCGATTACAACTAAAATTAGAACACGAATTTTCTACCCAAGGTTGCTCCATCGTGTTTTACGATAGATGTACAAAAGGTGCCGTCACATTTCACGTTATAACTCATGAGCCGCGGACACGCTGGCGCCTTGAAATTTTTGACGGTGATAACTAAAATGCGTCACTACGTGTAACGTATGTGTTGATTCAGAGATGGCGGGCAGCTTGGAGATAGAACTGGAACACCTTTTCACTGGGACATACTGCGTATGAGTTCCGCCGTGGAACCAATGCGACAGCTCGAAATATCATTTACGTGTTTGGCGAGGATGAGGCTGAATGAACGCACAGTACGTCGATGGTTTGAGGAATCCCCTTCTGGTGATTTTGGTCTTGAAAATGAGCCACGTGGGCGACCCGAGGCCAAAATGGATAATGATGAGCTGGAAACTGCAGTGGAAGCGAGTGCATCTTAAACTAAGCGTGAATCAGTAGCAAGGTTCTTGACGTTACTGTTTCAACCATATTGAGCCATTTGAAACGATCGTAAGAAAGCCGGATAAATGGTTTCCGTATGAATTAAACGAGCGTCGGAAGAGAAATCGTCTTGAAGCTTGCCGTTCTTTTTCACGACATGAAGGCCATTTCTACATCATTTTATTACATGTGATGAGAAATGGATTCTTTTCGACAATCCCGAGCGTTCAATGGCTGGATAAAGATGAAATGTCGAAACACAGTCCGAAACCGAATGTTCACTCAAAAAAGCTAACGATGTCTGTTTGGTAGTCTACCCTCTATAGCTTTATGAAACCTGGTCAATCGATTACGGCGGATGTCTACTGCAACCAATTGGACGAAATGGTGGAGGAGCTCGCGATTAAGTAGCCGAGATTGGTCGACAGAGACAGGCCAATCCTTTTGCGAAACAACGTTCGACTACGTGTCGACCACAAACAACGCTGCTCAAACTACAGAAGCTGGAATTAGAAACTCTTCGTCACCCACCATATTCAACTAGACCTTCCACCAACTGACTACTTCCAGGCATTAGAGCACTTCTTACAAGGAAAATGTCATTCAATTTTCAACAAGCTTTGGAAAACGCCTTTCGCGATTTTATCGCTTTCCACTCGCTTTCCAGGATTCTCTGCTGCTGGCACAAACAAGCTGCCAGTAAGATGACAAGATTATGTCGATAGTTTAAGCGCACACTTAATTATACTGCTGATTAATTATACTGCTGCCTGGTTGTGATATAATGGACCGAACTTTTGATTTGAAATCGGACATTTCGTATTTAATGACTTAATAAAAACTATGCGATTTTCCTGCTGTTGACTTGAAAGTCCTGTCGCGTCGCATTCCCGACAGTGTTGTACTCTCCTTTCTTGAGGAGGGAGGGGGCCGATTCCATTTCTTTATGCAATGCCCGGCTCCGATGCGCACGACTACTGCAACGTCATCATTTTTCATTTCGCAATGCGGGAAACTTGAAGTAATATAAAGCTTCAGGGTGAATTTTCAATCGGGTCGTATTGTTCACGCGCGGACCGATCCGTGGCAAGAGATATATAAATTTCGAATTTATGATTTCAGCTTACGGGACATAAAGGACGACAATATGAAGCTGTGTTGTTCAAGAAGAGACGAGGCCGACGCGCCGTCCGGACTTGGAAACGGTAAAAATATCATTATTAATCGACATAATCGCATAAACGTTTGAAAATGTTGCATGTATCGATTGTCGAACGCACCAAGAGATGAATAATTTCGAATGCAGCGAGAATAATTTTAACGTTCAACTCGATTCTCTGCGTAAATTTCTCTCACACTGTATCGTATATATATATTGTTCATTATTTATTCTATATCTATATTTATTTAATATTATTTATTCTGCTAACTTATTTTATATACCATCATTTATTTTATTTCTTTATTATTTGCTTCATATTATTTATTTTATTCCACTTATTACTTTATTTTCAATAAATTTTAATATTATAAAATTTAAATGTTACTATGAGTCATAATTATTACGCACACGTTTTTAATCGAGGAAGTAGTCTTCTTACGTTTCACTTATACCCCTTATTTATACTTCTTTACCTTTCATATCTATCTATCTATCTTTTCAGGAACTATAAAACCTCCAGTGGGGAACGCTATAGACAAATTTGGGCTTTATCAAATGACGATGTTCGCGTTGATTAGTCTGCCTTTAATGTTCACAGCAGGGTTTACGCTTTCCTATATATTTACTGCAGGCGAAGTCAAATACAGGTATATTAAAAAAATATTGAGACCTGTGAATCGATGTCTGAGACAGACGCGCTACGTGTTCCATAACAATTCATAGTATAGCGAATGGGCATTTAAAGAGATAATCCACGAAAAAAATGGATAAGTCGTTTTAGCAAATTTATTGTTTACCGGACAAACTTTTATGATTGAACGGATCCGATCATGCAGTAGAGAAATCAGTAAAGTGTCTACAAATAAAATATTTACATATAAATGTTATAGATAAAACTGGAAGATAAAATTACGAGTACAATGTTTGCAAGTGAATGGCCAATCTTATCTTTTCGTCCAAATACACAGATGTTTGGTGCCGGAATGTGAGCACTCGGGAAACGCGACGTTCGATCCACCTTGGGTGAACGCTTCCGCACCGAGAGCCAAGGGAGGAGACATCTCGCGTTGCGTACGTTACGCGGTGCAGGATCGTCCGAACGTGTGCACGATTAATTCGTTCACGAACGTGACCCACGACTGTGATTCCTGGCTTTACGATCCGACCGAGCGCACGATACTCAACGAGGTAAAACAGTACTAGCTTAACCCTCAGAAGCACGGTGGGAAGTATACCTCCCACCTTTTTTTCTTTCAGATTTTTGTCGATATAGCATTTTCATTGCTATATTTGGACTGTTTTTTTTCCTCCCGGTATCTTAGGGATAGGCGAATGTAAAAAATCGTCAAAATGCACATTTTGTTAACTGTAAAAGTGTTATAAATAATCAAATTAAGAAAAGTGCTTGTTTCCTCAGAGAAAATACCTTTTCCAGCAACTTTTCCAAAATTTAGATGTTAAAACTTGTATATAGGGTTTTTTGACGTCGCTGATTACGAATCTAATGTCAGAATTAGTAGATTTTCAAAATCCAAACTGGCGTTCTAACGTACCAAAATACCAAATTTGAAGTGATTTGGTCGATTCGCTGCAATTTCGGTCCTACATATTGGTTCTGCCATCTCAGGTTAAAAATGTTTTTCAATGTTGACCTCAGATTTGTGATCAGCGACTTCGAAAATCCTCGGGTACCGAATTTGATGAAAAATAAGCGGGAGGAGAAATGTGTGTTTCAAAGGGTTAATTAAGTTGATCTTTTTTCCCCCGAGACCCGTGGAAGCCCCCGGCCACGTTTCATCATTTTCCTTTGCTTATCGCGACACAGTGGGATTTTACTTGCGATGCTAATCGATGGAGACTCACGCTGGTCGGCACAATAAACAACGTTGGTCAATTCGTCGGCCTGATGTTCGCCGGATACATATCCGACAGGTGAGATATATATATATATATATGTGCGACGCGACGGTCCTCTTGGCTTTAATTAATCAATCACGGAGAAAAATCTCTCCCGGATGCGTTCGCGTGAACGCGTTTCAATCTCGCATACTTCCGCGTGCCGTCCGACAAAAAAGAAATATATAAACCTGAATTTTATAAAAAGAATTGGAGCTTTTTTTCTCGCGATTATCCGACTATTTCCGTTACTATCTTCATCAAATTTTGAAGATCTTTTAAAATTCGTTTCCGCTTATTCCATGTACGTATATTTTACGTTGTACCATGTACATATATTAACGATTGCATTTATTATTGTTATCTAAAAAAAATCTATTATGTTACCGTTACTGACGAAAAAAAAATATAACATACAACGGTGATGACGTTACAAATAATGGATTTTCATCTCATTTTCATCCAGATGAGTCTGAAATCATCTAGGGCAAATACTGGTGATGGTAGTGGTGACGATGGTGGCGGAAACGATGGTGGTCGCACATCCGTTTGTTCTTCTCACCTACTTTCAGGTACGGCAGACGAACCATTTTGACGCTGGCAACGTCTCTGAGCGGGGTCAGTGGCTTGATACATTCCTTCTCCGCGAATTATTGGATGTTTCTCGGGTTCGAGTTCCTGGACGCCACCGCTGCGTCTGGAATTTACAGCGCAGGATTTATTCTAGGTATGCTAATAACGAAACACGATAATTTGGGGGAAAGAATACACGACAATCTGTAAAGCGTTATGTCGTGCCGGTTATCCGTTCCTTTGCGCGTGTATATGCTGAAAAAAAGTTCTCACAAGTTACTTCAACTACTCCTTCACTATTTTTCAACTATTTCTCAACTATTCCTCAACTATTTCTCGTGTTATTCTAACATCGCACTTTAAGTTGGAATAACATATATAAATGTAAAACAAGATGTATTTGTGGCGAATAATTAATATATTCAGTATGTTAATGAATAACATACGACTATGTTGTTTTAACGCAAATGACTTGGGTCTTCGTAAGACGTTGAACACTCGCGTTTGTGCTCAGGAATGGAGATGGCGGGTGTGAAGAATCGAGTTTTCGGCAGCACCATTATCTGCTGTATGTTCGCCGTGGGCGAGATCCTGTTGGGACTAATTGCGAGCCAGCTGAGATCCTGGCGAGCTTTGCTCAGGGTCGTGTACGGGCCAGCGTTGCTCGCCGTTTTCTTGCCCCTATTTATCCCGGAATCAGTAAGGTAATATTTTTCTTGATAGCGCGCACTGCTCACATATCAGTACGGTATCATTCTTGCCCGATCAGCGAGATTTAATGATCGACGAACATTATCCGCGATCAATTGAATTGTGTGTGACGTGCACACGGTCGACGCCTCGTAATCCGCTCACAATTAGTCGCGGATCAGATTGAAAGATTGAGAGCGGAGGAATGCGTGATTTGCAACTTTTCGCGCTGCGGCTCTTTCGTTACGTAGCGAAATACGGGTTTAACGGTGATTTTTGCACGCGAACTGTACGTACCGCTGTACCCTATAAGTACGTAATATTATTTAATATTAATATTATTAATATTATTTAACATTCTTTAATATTAAGTAATGTGTTCCCTTTTCATCAGCGTAATGACGCTTTTCATGACGCGATCATTTTTAAGGTGGCTATTGTCGAAGGGCAAGAACGACAAGGTGGAGGAAATTTATCATAAAATGGCACGAATGAACGGTCTGCAAGTGACGGACGAAGCCATCAACGTATTTAAGGAGTTGAATGTTGTTAAGCCTGAAACGGTATACCATATACATATACATATACGTATATATATATTATCCTCGCTTATACACGCGCATTAATCCATAACGTTGGAATTTGGTCTTACTTGTAAGTTCACGTTTGCCCGTTCCGCTGCTAAATGCGCGCGATCTCTTTCAGAAAAGCAAGCTGGTGATGTCGGAGGAGAAGAAGCCGATCGTGCAGGTTCTACACAGCTCGATTATACTCATCCGCTTGCTGGCCTGCTCGTTCTGCTGGCTCACGAATACGTTCGTTTATTACGGATTGTCGTTGAATTCCGTGGCATTTGCCGGGGATAAGTACACTAATTTCATGCTCGTCGCCGTGGTCGAGATACCGGCGTACTTCCTCACCTGGCTGCTAACCGATCACGTCGGCCGTAAACCAACGCTCTCCTGCTCGTTCCTGCTGAGCGGGGCGTTCTGCCTCGCGATCCAGTTCGTACCGACAGGTAAAAAGAAAATAAAAAGAAAAAAGAAAGAAACGGAAAGGAATGGATAAAGGGGAGAAAGGAATTTCTCAGACGAGCGAAAAAGCGATTAAAGTCGTGATCCGGCAATATGGAGAAACGGGGCATTTGGAACGAATTAATCATCTGTAATCACACTGATTTCATTTATCTTGACACGCGATAAAACAGTACCGATCATTGTAATGTTCGATGATGATCGAAACGCGAGACGCTTAACGTAGACGAATCGATATACTTTGAGCGGCAGAATAATCTTGGATCAAACCAGGAACCCGGACCAAAACCGAAAACCGTACGAAAACCGGTATTTTTGTCGAATTGCGTTGTATGCGCACACACGTGTACGCTATTTGTTCGTAGAGTAACTACATCGGTTGTAATTGACGTTGCGGCGCGAACGGCGGTATTGATTAATCGTCCGCGCTGTTTTCAGATGCCTCGAGTTACGGGCCTTTACTTTTATACATGGCCGGGAAATTGTGCATCACCATGGCATTCGCCACTGTCTACATTTACACGACGGAACTCTTCCCTACAACGATGAGGCATTCGCTGCTGGGAATTTGCAGTATGACTGGACGCGTCGGGTCAATCTTATCGCCGCAGACGCCTCTTCTGGTGAGTCAATAGACGGCGCAGCCGCGTCGCAACGCGGTAAACGCGTTGTGGATCGCACGAACGTGTTTTGCCAATTGCATCTCGATAACGTAGTCATAAACAAAATTTACGCCAATCGGTTAATCGTGCGACACAGAGAGAGAGAGAGAGAGAGAGAGTCAGTGGAATAGAAACGAGAACGGTCTTTGCCAACCTTTGGCGGCAGAGTTTTCGACTTGATATGTTTTTCAACGAGAAATAATACTTCTTGAAAGGGTTAAACATGTTTTTAAGAAATGCTTTGTTTCCAAGATAATTCACTGTATTAATTAAAATAAAATATTATGTGTAATTCGTACTCTCGCGTTATAGGGTTCGTAACAAGTGTTTAAGGATTGCGTATTTTACAGATTTTTTAAGCATCACTGTGTGAGAAACGGCTGTTATCTCAGATATCGCTTTAATTGTACGTTGTCTTGTTTGCGTCCAGGCACAAATAATGCCGGCGCTGCCGCTCATCCTCTTCGGTGCTATGGGTATAGTCGCAGGCGTCCTGTCTCTGATTTTTCCGGAAACTCTGGGAACGAAACTTCCGGACACCGTGTGGGAGGCAGAAAACATCGGCAAGGTGCAACTTAAACGGGATCCACAGGNGGGGGGGGGGGGACCATAGGACACTGAAACGCTAAGACAAAGGGTTAAGTCTTTTCCACGACGGAAGTGGGGCGATAGCTTTTGAAAATTTACCGATGAAGCGCGCCCATTTTTCAAGTAATATTACCGTTTATATACTAGTCAGTTTGTTCGTTCGCTCGACGCTCGTTCCAATAGTAACTGAACAATGAAACTAGCTAATTTTCAAGTAACTATTAATTATTAACTATTAATCAGTCTTTAACACCAGTTTCGAGATATTTATTATCAGTTTCTAACCAATCATTTCTCATATTTCTAATTTTAATTATTTTCTTATTACTAATAGAATGTTAAACGACCTGAAACGATCGTTTTTCGATTCTTCATTGAGGCAGAAATGTATGCGTGCATGTGTTTGTATGTGTGTGTGTGGGTGGGTGGGTGGATGGGTGGTTGAGTAAATGTAATTTCACTATATTTTACATAGTCATCTTTGGAGCCTCGAACAAATGTTTGCAGTTAGGAGCATGCAAAATATAATGAAGTAAATTCGGATTTACAGCCATAATAACTATAACAATCATTCGTTCAATTAAATGATATTGTTATCGTAGAATAAAATAAGATTTTCATACAATAAAACGTACTATAAAATAGTTATAAGAAATAACCATATGCAATACTAATAAAAAAATGTACTCATATATATTTTATATTATCAATTCGAAATTTATTACATTTCTTTTTAACTACGTTGTTTCTAAAGTATTCATAAACGATAATGTTGCCTGAAATCTTAATTATTTACCATTTCATAAATTCAACAACATATAATTACGAGTTGCTTTCGCAAAACTAAACAATTGATTCCAACAAGTATTGTTCCCAATTGGATTGTTTGAAGCCAGCAATCGATGAGAAGCGTCCAGAATTGAGCAAACGTTATGATGTCATATTCCAAGACAAAGCTAGACCTCACGTATCTTTGACAACCCGACAAAAATGACTGCAGCTTGGTTGGAATGTCTTGCCGTATACTCTATTCATTCACCTGACCTGGCACCATCAGACTTCCACTTATTCAGGTCTCTGCAGAATTCCCCCATTGGAAAAAAATTTCGCTTTTTTTAAGGCCTGCAAAAAAACACTTTGAGCAATTTTTCGCCCAGAAAACTGGGAAATTCTAGCAGGATGGAATCTTTAATTTTCCCGGAAGTTAATGAAAGGTTATCGGTACAAAACGGTGCATTCGAGGGGTGTTCAGAAAATAACGGGAATTTTTAAATTTCGCGGGTTTGGAGAGTCCGATCGTCAAAAATTTTTTTTTATCATGTTGATATACATGCCCCTGAAGTATGATAAAATTTTCAGCTGTATTCATTGTTTACTTTGTCTGTGGCAGCCGCTAAGGTTAGACGTGTTTTTATGAGCTCGGCGATTTTCGTTCGCGAATGGAAGTTGCCAGAATGCCTCCACTGGGACGATTGAGCCTTAGTTTCGACGTCATATCCGTAAACCCATGTTTCGTCACCTGTTATAACACGTTTCAGTAATTCTGCATCATCGTTGACTTCATTTAGTAACTCCTGAGCAACTTCCATTCGCGAACGAAAATCGCCGAGCTCATAAAAACACGTCTAACCTTAGCGGCTGCCACAAACAAAGTAAACAATGAATACAGCTGAAAATTTTATCATACTTCAGGGGCATGTATACCAACATAATAAAAAAAAAATTTTGACGATCGGACTCTCCAAACCCGCGAAATTTAAAAATTCCCGTTATTTTCTGAACACCCCTCGTACATTGTTCATTAAAAATATTCCTTAATACGAAAATTTTGTCTTTGAATTTCACCGAAAAGTACGAAATTACTTTACACAACCCAAATCCTTGTCGCAATTGCTCCCCGACGAGTCGAGAACTGTTTACCATCGCGATTTCTGCTTCGGTGCGAACCGAATATTAGCGTCATATGCGCGCACGAGCAACCTCGGAGACCGTTCGCCCTCACGACGCTCAACCGTGAAAATGATCATTGAAATCAGTCACCCTCGAGCGCGACACCAGAATTTCCGTATGAATGCGAAATGCATTCTCAGGGTACGCGCGCGCGCGCGCGCCGACGACGACGACTCGTAGCTCCCTATGCGTGTGACCTCCCCCTCCGTGATTGACGTCCGGCTAGTGGATAGCTCGCTTATAGCCTATGCCAAAATTGGAAAACAGGAACGCGCGGTGCCACAGGGCGATGAAAAGGGGGGAATAGGGGATTCGATTCGTCCAGCTGTGCGGCAGTTGCGTTAAGTGAGAACGTAATTACCGTGTTTCTCCTGTGGTGGCGAGGGCGACAGGATATCTGGAGGCGTATATGCGCGGGGAAAACGTCGTCCACCGCCGTAACACACATCACGCAGGATCCAGGCATGCGCGTACAAGGGTGTCGGGCTGGATTTCGTTAAGTTTTAACGATCGCCAGGTGTAACATCGCGCTCTCCATTCGTCGCGTTAACGATCGTTAAAATAAATCGTGGCTCCTCGTTCGAGCTCCGAGCTCGCATTATCGGTCGGTGACGCGGTCGGTCAGTCGCGACCTGGCAATAAATGAGTTCTTTCCTCCCTTTCTCTCTCTCTCTCTCTCTCCTTCCACCTTTCTCTCTTCCTTTGCTTTTCATTTTTTTTCTCTTTTTTCCTCGTGAACGTTTTCCGCTTGCGCGATGCAAGCCCTCGTATTTTCCAACTGCCTGTTGGTTCAGTCCCCGCGTCCATCATGCTCGTGCGATTTCATCGAAATCGACTCTCGTCGTTATTAATCCGATCCTTGATGCGTTCAATCGACTCTTTTGCCGAGACACCTTGTAATCGTACCTGAAAGTAAACATCGTGTAATGGAGCGCGCAAAGGAAGGGGCGCAGCACAATGCAGTTCCTTCCGCGGAGAAAGGCTAGTATTCTCCTTTTTAAAGTAGTTAACTTCATTCGTTTGAAAACCTCAATTTCTATTTAAGATATATTGATGGTTTTTCACGGCATTATTATGTAATCTTCTTCGTCTAGTCACTGTCTATGTAATTGGTATAGCTATTAGACAGTCCTGACGTTCAATTTCTATGCAGGATTTACACATTGCTACTAGATAGTGACTAGACAGAGTTTGATATTGTAACATAACCATAATTTCGATGTGCTGACTAACATAATCCTGCTAGTGGCGAGATAGTAGCTGGATTGTATATTTTAGAAAAGACAGCGTCATCTGCTACCATATTTTCTAATAACTAGACAATTAAAGATTGATTAGGATTATTTAATCATGCTAGTGACTGGTTAGAAAACTTATCTAGTCATTACTATCTAACTAGTCATTACTAGTCATTACTAGTCTAGCTACTGGTCTTGAAATCTAATCTGCCAGACACATTTCTGCTCTGGTAATTCTTCGAGAAAGGAGGAAGAAGAAAAAATTGTCGGGACGAAATTCTTCTTATTATTTTCTTTTTTTATTATTTATATCGAACTTCCAACACATATCCTGATATTACTGCTTGATATGACGCATCCCGGCGATCGTATTTTGAAAATTAAAATTCCGACGATAATGAAGTCAATGCGTGAATTCGATTATACTCTTCCGGACACTTACAATTGGCCCCGTTGAAATCGCGCGTCGCATTCCAAAAATAATTTTATACAGCCGCCGTTTAATCATCAGTTTGTTTGTACATTATATGCGTTTAAGCTTTGCGCTTAAACTGACTAGCGCATTTTACGCATTCGTCCTTGGTAATAAATGCGCACAATTATTTATGCAAACCAATCTGGTTATCGTATCGGATCCGTTTTGAATAGCATTGCGTATAGGTGGGCAAAAGGGACGAGGACATTAGTTAGCATCGAATAGAGGGGTGTTTCGAAATTGATCGAATCGTTGGCAGATGATGAGCTGAGGGATACGACTGTCAGCTTTACCGCTGCTGCTATTGTCGCTTGGAAAGTAGGGTTAGATCAAAGTGGTGCAAATGAGAGAGTTAACGGTTTAGACTACCTCTATTTGTCTCTATTACCGACTTGTACGTACGTTAACGTTAGCTTTTCAATTGACAAAGATCGGAAGACATTAAATGACACAAACTACATTTCTTATAACTTCCGGGTTGATTGTAAAAATAAGAAGTATAACTGTCCGTCACTATTACTAATGAAAACGTATAACGTCGTTACTAAATCTTTACTGAAAGAAGTAACTTTTCAAATCTAATTATTACTGTTATTATTTATTTTTTACGAACCATCTCCCTCACTTTCCATCGCATTCCGCATCGGTTCCGCAAGTAATCGCAGCAATTTCGGCGTCCGTGATTTATAGTCAAGCGGTCATTTTCATTTAGTTTCATCGAGCGGCTCTCTCCGGTGTCGCAGCGGAAAATAAAACGACGGAAAAATCGTAGGGAAACGTCGGTTGTTTGTCGAGCCAGCGAAGGTTAAACATCTATAGACGACGGGAAGGGAATTAATAGCCTGCCTGCCCGCTTCGATGTAAAGACGTCTACCTGCTAATTAAAATTTCTGCTCCTGGAAGCGTGACCTCGCCTCGACGAGGAGGCGGGGGATAACGGTGGGGGAGAGTTACACCCTGGAATGATTATCCTACGAAGAAAAATGGTCTTTCATCTTCTTATAAACGTCTCATCGGTCGTAGTCTAATGTTTAATTGCTTAAAATAACGCGCACTCATAGCTATGCATCCATCCAGTGCAAATATCGAACAACTGCCGAATAATTACCTAGATAAGTAGCGCTATTTATCTTATCTATAAACCAAACGCAATATCATTTAATCTAAGATGAATTTTTCTCTCATCTTCATCTAGATGCATCTGAAATCATCCAAGACGAAAACTGCTTGTTGCTTGTACGAGACCAATCGGCGATGCTCCGACGATGAATCCGTAATATATCTCAACTCGCAAACTCGAGATGCGAGCAACACGCTTGGCAACGAGCTCCTCCAATTGTTGGTTACGAAAGGAAGGTGGAA